CCCTCCCTCCCCCCTTGCCGGTTGCAGGGATTTGTGTCCCCCATCAAGCGCCTGGTCTTCCCGAAAGCCTCCCGGAAGCAGCAGGCTCTGAAGGGCAACACGTGTCGCCGGCGGCCCCTGCACTCGGTGCCTTTGTACCCTCCCGACTATCTCATTGACCCCCAGATTCTCCTGCAGGACTACGTGGAAAAGGAAGTGAAGGTGAGCACCGGGATGTGGCTGGGGGGGGCTTGGCACAGGGCTTGGGTGGGCACCCCGGTAGGCACCCCGGTACCCAGCAACACCTGCCCGCGTCCATGTTCTCTGGATGCCCCCAAAGCGAATGGAAACTTAGCCCATCCCCACCTTGTCCTTCTCAATCCTGAAGCCCCCTTGCAACTCTACAAACCTGTTTCCAAGCGTGTCCCCCCCCCAGTCTGAGAATCACTCTTAGAACCAGAGATGTCCATAGGGCGTGGGCAAAAAAGTCAAGATGGTGGCTGCGATGGTGCAGTCAGTACACGAGGCACCTAAAAGACCAGGCAGAGCGTCCATCGCACCATGGCGGCCCCCCCAGACTGCTTTGAGCGTTCTTTGCGGGGCCTCTGCTTTGACTAGGGAAAGGTGAGTGACCGAAGCCAGCCCAGCATTTTTCTGAGTGGGGATCCTGCCAGCTTGGGAAGAAGCAGAGGATCATCCAGGGGCCCAGAAGGGCTCTGGGCGGGGGGGAGGAAGGGGAGCCCCTGTCCAGGCTGTCCTCTGCTGAACGGCCATGCCCAGAAGGGCACCCGGTGCCTGCAGTCATGCAGGCAAGAGAAAGCAAAGATAGTACCAAAGATAGTAATGGGCGCCTTGGGTGCAATCCCAAAACATCTGGCGCACCCCTTGAAAACCATCGGCATGGACAAAATCACCACCGGTCCGATGCAAAAGGCAGCTTTGCTTGGAACAGCTTCCATCCTGCCACGATGCCTTTCACACCACCAAACAGCAACATCTGCCCATCCCTGGTCCTTGGGAAGGACTCGAGAGGTGGACAGAAATGCCAAACCCAGTCCAAGCATCTGGCCGACTGTGCGACCAACCGTAATGATAATAAAATGTATTGCACTTGCATGCCACCCAACTCCCAATGGCTCTGGGTGTCTCACAATGATCAAAGGAATTACAATCGAGTCAATAGAAGGTTAAAAACTAAAGATAAAAGACGGCCAGCGCGATGAAGCGAGGCCCTCCCTCTCCCTCTCCCTCTCCCTCTCCCTCTCCCCCTCCCCCTCCCTCGCCAGAGGCCTGGTGAAGAGCCGGTCTTCGTGGTTCTTCCAAACAACGGCAGAGGGAGGGCATCCGAATCTCAGGCGGGGGAAGCTGGGCTGATCAAAGCCACTATTAGAATCCCCGTTTACCATGGCATTGGAAGGGATCTAAGGGGTCATCAGGTCCAACCCCTCGCGCCAGATGCAGAGATGACTGTTCAGCCTCTGCTAGAGGAGTTCTTCGCCATGCAGCTGATCACGTTTGTGTGGTGGGGGGGAGACTGGGGTCTGGATTATGAGAGGGGAGGAAATGCTTCCATTGGCTTTCTTTCCAAGCGGATGACGTGGCCACAGGGAAGGGGGCCGGGGAGATCACAGAAGCCAGGAGGGCAGCTGCGACGGCATAGTCAAAGCCCCATCTGCATTTTGGGGGGGATGGAAATATGCAGGCTAAATGCAACGCCTTATTTAGGCTGCATTCCCACAATCCGTGCAACCGAGTCAAAGAACTCAGCAGCTGCGTTTATCCCACCTTCTAAACTTGCTTAATTTCAACCCTAACCTTGGCTGGGTTTGCTGATGACTCGGCGTGTTGTGCTACCCCAACCCATTCATGGTGCAAATTCAGGAAACGAGTAGCGTTGGCCCCCGGGTTATGTACGCTGGGTGAACGTACTGCCTTAAAGTCAGGTCTGAATTGGCCCGCAAAGGCAGGTGGGCCCTGAATTCGGCGGGTTGGGGAAAATCTCCGTCACACTCCTGGAGGATCTAACAGTGATCTGGTTTGCAGGCCAGTTGCAGGCTTCTGCAACCTGGAGCCCTCCAGAGGTGTGCACCAACCCCTGCAATTCCTCAGCAGTTGGGCCCCCGAAGGGCTTGGATTTTTCCCAGCCTCGCATGGTCGGTTGCAGGTTTCGTTCTCACGGCTGAGGAAGCGGGGTTTGACTGGTCTCGTTCAGTTTCATTCCTTAGCGGCTCTGAGGTAATAGGTGTCACCTTTTTATTTTCAAATATGACGAGACGGGGCCCGCTTAGAGCTCTTGGCGCAACCGAGGCGGGATTCTCCGGGGCTGATTGCACGAGACGAACTTGGTGGGGGGCCTTGTGAGGGCAAACCTGAGAGAAATTTTACAGATGCTGAACCATATGAGTGCAAATACATTCCTTTTGGGAAAAGCTGTGTGCAAAAATGGCGAAGAACGTTTTCTCTACCCCCAGCCCTGATCCATGCCAAAACCCCCAATTTATTGACAGCTTGAATTATGAAAGCAGCATAAAATAAATCAAAGCTAAGTATGTGTTCTTGATCTGCACAATCTGTCCTAACTGTAGATTCTCCCTTAAAAAAAAAAAAAATATTTAGCCCTGTTTCATTTTTATCTTTTCTCATTCTTTCCCCCTTTTTTCCAGTTTTTAGGCCACCTGACCTGGGTGAACACTTCCCTGAACCCCTCCAGCCGTGATGAATTGTTGCAGCTATTGGATACCGCGAGGGTAACCGCACAATGTGCTTCAGTGCGCTTTCATGTCGGTCAATTAACTGTAATGTTCTCAGAATGAATATCGGCGAGAGCGCTAACGGTGGTATTCCTAAGTGGGGAGCATCGGGACTTAAAGGATGCTGCGCTTATGCAGGAAAAGCCAATTAAGACACATTGAGCACAGAGGACTATTCTGCTTTCTCCTTCTTTACTGCACATACAGACAACTGAAAAGGGGCAGAAATCTTGTATTGTGGAAAGCTTTGATACAGGTAGTCCTCGACTTACAACTGCTCGTTTAACAACTGTCCAAAGTTACGACGGTGCTGAAAAAAGTGACTTACGACAGGTCCTCATACTTACAACCGTCATGGAGTCCCCATGGTCACATGATTAATATTCGGGCTCTTGGCAACCAGCATGTATTTACAACAGTTGCAGCATCCTGGGGCCATTTGCAACCTTCCCAGGGGGCTTCCAACAAGCAAAGTCAATGGCGGAAGCCAGCTTCCCTTAACAACTGCAGCAAAAAAGGTCATAAAATTGGGTGTGACTCACTTAACAACCGCATTGCTTAGCAATGGAAGTTCCAGTCCAAATTGTGGTCATAAGTCGAGGACTACTTGTATTACTGTTGGTCCTGATTCTTTCTGAACTGGACATGCAGAAAAGCTACCACAGCAGAGTTTCTCAACCTTGGCAACTTTAAGATGTGTGGACTTCAGCTCCCAGAATGTGTGTGTGTCTGGGGGGTGCATTTCTGGTGTTAAGGGCTGCAGAGGCGAGACAGCCTGATGTTGTTTGCCCAGAGGGAGAAGCTGGAGAGTTCGTGTACCTTTTGCCATAGCAGGTGGCAGCCCCTGCCCAATCTTCACTCATCTCAGAGATGAAGCAGGGTCAAACCAAGCTAGAACTGGGATGGGAGACCACCAGGAAATAACAGACCTGTAGCCTAACTGGAAAGACCACTTAAAAAAAAAATCCCGGAAGGCAGCAATAATGAACTATAGACGTATTCAGGTAGTTGTCAAGTGCCAAGCTCACCTTGAGCGAGTCTTTGCCTTTTTAAGCCTCTCAAGGCTTTCATATCTTGGAAGTTCAGATTCCATGCATTAATGACCATTGGATTCTGGAGGTTCGGTGCCTACCGAGGAGGATTTTCTGCTCCTCTGGCCTGCTTGTCCTGCCTGCATGTTTCTTCAAAAGCCCTACCCTTTGTGTCTTTCTGCAAAGACCCTGCCTTTCGTATGTGGGATTGTATGATTTTCCAAGGGACGGGGGGCGGGGGGGGGGGTCAGGAGCGCGGCGGATCCTGCTCCGCAAAGGGAGAAGGGGTGGGATGAGGGGGCCTCGGCCTGCCG